CCGCCGTAGCAGTACCGCCCCTCAGTGTCGCCCCCAATGAACTCTTCAGGCCGGCCCAGATAGAGAAGAGTGTCAATGCTGAGGTGGGAGACCAGGCGACTGACACGGTGGGCCTCGGTGTAGGTGTCATCCTGCACCAGGTAGAACCAGTCGAAGTCGCTCACATAGTGGTCCAGCACGTACTTGATGGTCTGGTACATGTTCCAGATGGGCCGCTCGTCGCCGTGTGTCACCACTGTCATGCCATGCGGCACCTTGCGGCCCCGCGTGCCCGTGAAGTATACCAGCCGTTCCAGCCGGTGCCCCAGCGTGCGGTTCACAGCCACAGCCAGCGTGTTCAGCGTACTCTTGGAGGTGAGCACGCCCACGAAGAGCCGCTGTCGGATGCCCAGCTCCGTACTGATGTACCGCGTCCTGGGAGGACAGAAAGCGTACTTGAGGGAGCCTTTTCCCACATCCTAGGTAACCCACCCCCAGAGAGACAGGCACAGACCTGCCCCTGGGCCCCACAGACCTCATGGCATGGCTCTGGATTTCTGGGCTTTCCCCCAAATCAGGGATGAGCTGCTGCAGGGCGACTGAGCAGGGCTGGATTCAGGCAGGAGACTCCTGTGAGGAAACTTGTAGAGATCCAGGGGTGTGGAAGAGAGGGGCAAGTGATGACCAGCTACCCCCATCTCTGCCCACGCTTATGGGTTACATTCCCTACTCATGAGGCACCTGTATGAATTCATGGCAGCATCCTGTGCTGTGTCCAATACCTCCTGCCCCTATGTGCTGGCTGGCCCAGCATGGCGAGCCTGGTCCCAGAGCACCCCCCCATGCAGCAAGGGCCATTGCAGAGTCAGCAGCCCAGGCCTGGCTCATACATGGGGAGGCTGGTGCGCCAGCCCCGGTGGCACTGCAGAGGGGGAGGGCGCACAGGAGCTGTGGGGACATCAGACGGGTGGGGCTGTGTCCATGACAGGAATGGTGAGCAGGGCTGGCCCCTAGGCCCTACTTGTGACTTCATAAACACAGCCCCCCCCTCTCCCCCAGCCCCCCCCAG